CCCCCTTGTTTCTGAGTTATTTGTTGGAATCAGGACAGGATCTTTTCATTCCCTTTGACATAGCAGCTTTGATACTAAAACAGGAAGCAATGGGGGAAAGTCTAAAATAGTTACTGGGAGAAACTTCCTTTCAAAGCTTTTAGCTGCCTGTTTTCACTGGCCTGCTAGACCATGCTATCCAAATCTCTTTCTCGTTAATCCATTATTTCTTTATTATTCAGGAGTTTGAACTTAAAAACTGATTTGCCTTGGCTAGTAGCCAGTGATTGTCTTGCATAAACTTCAGTCCTCACAGAGGTTATCAATGTTTAGCCAATGTTTGCTGTTGGTATTGCCATTGTCTCCTGTAACTTGAATCCACCAGGAACATAAGACAGCAATATTATTTAAAAAAAAAATATCATGAGATGATCATTCTGAAACAGAATATATAGCAAGCTCTAATGAAACAGACAATAGAAACTGCATGAAAAAATTTCTAAATAGCTCAAAGTAGATGTGCAAAGCCAACCAATTTGAACTGCAGCTCGAGTTCAATCCCCATGTTGCAGCATCCATGAGAAGTACTTTCGATCATCTTTGCTGACCTGGTGGATGATGAAATACATTCATGATGTATTTCATCAGCACTTAGATGGACACAGCAACACCCTGCAAAACTCAGAACAGTGGAGTGTCTCTTGTAGTTACACAGGTCACATCCTAAGCGTACTTTTCACTTGCTTCCCACAGGCCAGCAAATCAGATATGGAATTTCATATTACCTCCAAAATGGATCAGACCTGTAACTATACTAAAAGAATAAATTTCTAGTGGATTGGGTAGAAGTGCCAGAGCTGAAGCAAGAGAAGATTTTGGTAGTGAATAGCTGTTGGGGGGAAAAATAGATTTAGTAGACTTAAATAAGAGAACCATGAGGGTGTAGACATGGCTGATATGTACTATGCATAGATAAAGGGGAACCTTTGGAGAGAGCTAGAAGCTGTCTTCTGTGCATGAGATACAGATAGAGGTAAATAACTTAACAGGTTAGGTCAGTCCTATGCTCCAAGTCAGGAGAAGATCTGAATGGGGAGAAGGGAGTTTATTTTATTGCCTTTCCTATATTTTTCTCTTCAGAGTACTATAGTTTTCCTGCATTAATAGCTGATAGATAGAGTTGAGTCTACTTTTATCTCTTCTTCCACAATGTAAGCCTGTCAGTTAATTTAGAAAACAAATTTAAGTATAAACACTCATATTAGGCATTAAGATAACTTTATCTCTGACATCATCTCCTTTTTTTTCCATGTATGACTGCTCAACATTTACTCTTATAGCTATGATACAGTATAGGGTATCCCTTACTTAAAGACTTGGACTTCATGAACCAAGCAGAGAAGGCAGTTCTAGGTATATAGCTTTTTGAGTGACTAGCCTAGCCTCCCCTCATTTTGTCTGTGTAATGCCAGACCTCCTTCCTTTCTGGCAGATAGCAAGGAGCATTTCAAAGCGAACCTCTCAGTTACACTGAAAATGGTGGTTTATATATTCTGTGTGAACTT